GTCGATCTCGATGATTAAACCAAAACATAAAAAAACACGGAGCAGAAACTGATCGACCTTATCCAGTTCAGACGATCTTCACCGATCAATCTATCATAGATCGATCGATCTCTATTTTAGATCGATCGATCCCGATCTCAGATAATAGAACCGAACCGAAATAACCAAATATTTCTCTTTGAATCAGTTTTGATCTTCGGGTGTGTTGAATCATGAGTCACCTTGATACATAATGTGTTCTTCGTGTACGCGTATGTGTTGAATTGTCACATAATTATGTCAGAGAGAAGGTGGAATCGCCATGGGAGAGAGCTCGGCGGAGAAGATGATGTAAAACAAAATTAGGGTTATCGATTTCCCCTTTGTACTTTGTGTCCCGATTCTTGTATTTTTTTTTGTTTTTTTTTGTTTTTTTGTTTTGTTTTATTTATAATTTAAATTTATAATTCCCTTTAATTGATTAATTTAAAGGGTATTATGGTATTAACAGATTTGAAAATTCTATTTTCCCAAAAAATCTTCTAAAAGTCTTATAAAGACAAATCCAAGTTGAGAGTATCTTAATTTTCCAATTTTCCCTTAATAATATCATTCCGTGCAAGACGGGGATTACTACCTAGTATTGTACTAAATCGGTTTTGGTTTAGTACTTTAGTTTAATTCCTTTGTACTTGTGTATTTTTTTGTGGAGAAAACAGATACATTAGACCACTTTTAATTTGGAAACAAAAATTTTATCTGTCAATTCATAAAACAGAATGTGAGCGTGACGAAGTTGATATCATGTTTTGGAGTCTATGAAATAAAAAGATTAATGATATCAAATAATCTGAAATTTGCTCCTACAAAATCACCGTTTTTTTCTTCTTCTTTTTTTTTTCAAATCCACCTATGTATATCATCGAGATTTCCTCCAAATCTCCTTTAACTTCACCAAATATAAAATCCACCAAAATCTCTAAAATCTACGTAAGTTGAGAAAAGTTTTAGGAATTTTAAATATTTTGGATACGTTTGAGATACTTTGACTCGTACCAACCCATAGCCGTTACAATTATCTTCGCCAGAGAGAGAGAGAGAGTAAGAATAATGTTGACGAGTGATATTCGCTGAAGTTGTTGTCACCTTTTTCAATAAATCAATCGTTTTTTTTTTGAAAGAAAATCAATTGTTCTTAACCTCAAAATTTGGTACATAACTGATTAACTAAAACCGTAACCATGGAAACAATGTGCTATGTAAGGTGATGATTGTTTACATGGTGCTATGTAAGGTGATGATTGTTTACATGGTTTTTAGATTTTAGGTTTTGTTTTTTGACTTTTGGTTTTTTGTTTTTAGATTTTGGTTTTTGATTTTTCTGTAGCTTTTAGTTTTTCAAAAAACTTGAATGGTAACATTAGATTTTGGTTTTTGTTTTTCAAACTAAAATAAATTATTAGTAATAAAATATATTTTTATGAAAAACATAAAACAAAATTCTATTGTTATCACCAAAATAAATACATTTATATAAAAAGTATATTAAAATATATATTTTAAAATAAAAATTATATCTAATTTTAAAATATATTTAACTTTATATCTTCACGAAAATACCCAGTTCATAGTTACGAGTTTGAAAAAAATTACATAAAATTTAGTTATTAATAACGGATTTTTAAACATATTTAATTCTAGACAATTAATAATTCTATTTTATCAATCTAAAAAATAGAATAATTATTTTTATAGATGATAAATTACATATAATATGTAGTTCAACTATTAACAAAACATGTAAACTGTACATTAAATTATATTTAAATAAATAATTATTTTATTTTCTTGGAAATTTTAACAAAATGTTATTAATATGTACTACATATGTTAAACAAATGCTTTATAATGAAACATAACTTTTTATAGTATTTATCATTTTGATTTATTTTAGATTTTTGAAAATCATGAATGGTTTATTTTTGCTTTTTATAAATGATAAAAAAAATTATTATGAAAATTAAAATATTTATTTCCAAAATATATAAAATACATCAAACCACACATAAACTTATTTAATAAAATTACTTTAAAATATAAAATACAATCATCAAGATGTAATTTGATTAGTATATATAGATGTAATTTACAAGATTTTAAAAATGTGACTATCGGTTATTATTCAATAAAATATTATTCAAATATTGTTATAATTTTAGTAAAAGCGGTGTTATAATAAAAATATCTGTTAATGCTTTTATATAGATGTGCTCAAGGATTATTATTAGCAGTTATGAATGCCTTAGTAAAGTGTCTTATGTATTATTTATTGTCATAGTAAAGTGTCTCAAGTATTATCCACTTACGTAAGTTATATTTGTAATAATACATAAATGTAAAAAGAGTTTCAAGCAAGAAAACTAGAAAAAACTGGTTTTTTGGTTTTTGTTAGGGCTGGACAAAAAACCCGGATCCAAAGAACCGAACCGAATCCGATCCGAAAAAGTAGTATCGAACCCGGACCGAAATTGATTCAATATCCGAATGGGTTTAAAATTTTGGTATTTAAAGAACCGAAACTGAATCCGACCCGAACCGAAGTATTTCGGGTACTCGAATATATCCGAAAGAGATTTATATACCTATATATATTAATTAGTTTTAGATTTAATTTATATAAAAAACAATCACTATATATAAAATACTTTAAAATTGTTCAAAATACTTGTAAATATATGTAAATAATCAAACATACATGTCTAAAATTGCTAAAGTGCACTCAAAACATCAAAAAGATTTTTAAAAATTATTGATTCACAATCCAAATATTCAAATCAAACTAATTTATATGTTACTTTTAGGTATTTTGACTTATGTTATTTAATTATTTGTAAAATATTATTTTATTTTATAGATTTTTAGAAATCAAAAGTATATAATCAATTATAAAATTTTAAAAATAATTTAAATGGGTTATCCGAACCCGAACCGAAATTTAGAAATATCTGAATGGGGCTAAAATTTGTGAACCCGAAAATCCGAAACCCGAATAGATCCGAACCGAACCCGAATGGGTACCGGAACGCCCACCCCTAGTTTTTGTTTACAATTTGACAGTTATTTCAAAAATTAGTTTCCCTAGATTTTAGAAATACCATTTCTCAAAAAACTTGATTGGGTGAAAAATGGTTTTTGTAAAAACAAAAACCAAAAACTATTCTAAAAACTGGAAACAATCAACCTCTAAATCTGGTCTAATTGTTTAAATAGCGACGGCGGAAACCCTAATGGCGACAGGAATGGCGATCGACTGGTTTTGAGTCCCCTCTTCACGATTTGATCATCCCTTAACCATACGTTCATCGGCGTAGGGTTCTAGGTGGCGTTAGGGCTCTGCACACGGTTGGTGATCGACGTTTCTATCGTCGTGTCTTGTGATCTCGATCCTTGTCGAGCATCACAGCCACGGCCAATCCCGAGATCGTCGCTGGCAATTGGTTTATACGATCATAGCTGTGAAACTCTGGCGTTTTGACTTGTCTCAAGGATCCAATTACCATAGTCGTAATTCTACTCCTGATCTTTGTCTGGAGTACGCTACGACAGGCTACCGTTTTTAACCTACGACTGATACATATCCCTGATCTTTGTCTTGGTTCTGTGTTCACATCGAAGATTCATTTCACATGGCTTTTTTGGGTCGTTTAAACTCGAGACCTGGTTTTGATCGTAAAGGCAAGGGTGTTGCGATTGATGTTGAGGATGATGATGCACCAATAAGATTGACTGAACAGGATAATGCATTCGTAATCAAAGAATACCGGATGTCTCTTATTGGAAAGATCCTGAACCCAAAAAAGCAAACTGTCGAGAAACTAATTCAGACAATGCCGGCTCAATGGGGAATGGCAGAGAAGATTACGGCGAATGATCTCGGAAATGGAAAGTTTCTTTTGAACTTTATCAATGAAGAGGATCTTAACTTCGTTCTTTCGAAGGGTCCTTTCCACTACAATTTCTGCATGTTTGTTTTGGTACGATGGGAACCAATAGTTCATGATGACTATCCCTGGATTATCCCCTTCTGGGTCCGATTGGTTGGGATGCCCCTACACCTATGGACAGACACTAATCTTAGAGAGATTGGAGGGAGACTTGGAAAAGTGGATACGATTGAGCTCACAGAGGGACGAATGCTTATTCATGTCGATTCTAGGAAACCTCTTAAGTTCAAGAGGAAGGTTCTTAGCCCGGAAGATGAGGAAGTAACCATCACTATTGAGTATGATTTACTCTTTAAACACTGCACCACTTGTGGTCTAATGACACATGAGAAGGGCTATTGTCCGACAAACACTTTAGCAACGAGGGTTGAACATGAACGGAGTGGTGTTTTTGCGAGAGTTCAACTACCTCCTACTCAAGATCAGTCATCACTAGATGGTGATAACCGGTATGTATCCCATAAGGATCGTACAAAACAGTATGGAGCACTCCCTTTGTCCCGATCTCAGTCCTCGCTGGGTAGGGATCAAGGTCTTGATCATCACAATGTACGCAAGGAACGTGATCATTCAGCTGTGCAATTTTCATCCCGCTCATTTGCGAGAGACCATAATAATGGGTACGCTGGAAGAATTCAAGCTACGAAATCTGCACACGACCGCTTGGATGAACGCGGTTATACCAGAAATTCCGATCGGGTTATAAGGAGACGGAGTGAGAAGCATTATGATGACCGTTATCATGGATCCCGACGGGCTTTCGCTCCATATGAGCGAAGGTCAAACAGAGTGTGGCGTGAGAAGCCACCGACTAAGGAAATGCGTATGGAGAGACAAGCTGAGGTTCTTGATAAAGCCGCTGATATAGTTCAGTCTGAAGTGGCGCCTGCGTCTTTAGTAGGGCGTCAAGATGATATTGAGGATCGGAGTGGAGATAGAGATACTGTGGGGGACTCAGGTCTTCTAACAAAAAAGGTGGCTAGTGTCATTGTGTCTCCGCCTTTACGAAGAGCATCCATGAAAGATAATGTAACCATCCGTAGTAGGAGTATATCACGATCTTTGTCCTTTGCGAATGATGAGGAAGTTGACGAGGGAGAACAAGTCATAGGTGCTCTGGCTGATATGCAAACAGATGAAACACAGGATGTAGCGTTGCTGGATCAAGAGGCTTATGATGATGCTGAGGATGATCTCTTGGGCGAAGAATTGATGGAGTTGAGTGCGGAGGAGAGTAAAGGCGCAGAAGCTGGCGCAAAGGGGAAAATGGGAAGTAGGAGACAGTCAGGTCGATCGGCTACTTCATCAAGTAGCCTGGTCACGAAGCCGGGTTTCCTCCGTCGAGGTTCCCCAAGACTGAGAGTGGCTAAGACTTCGACACATAGGACATCACGACAGAAGGCTGAGCATTTGCGGCCTGGAGCTAAAAATACTCAAGGGAGACAAAACAATGGTGGTGGTTTGATGGGATCCAAAAACCCATCCAAGCATCATCCATGAGGACAATCAGTTGGAACTGTCGAGGGATTGGAAACGACCTTACAATTCGACGCCTTAAGGAGATGTGTCAGAAACATCGCCCAGGACTAGTGTTTCTTTCTGAGACGAAGAATAGGAGGCTGCTGTTGGAAGACATTCAGGCCGACTTAGGATTTGATCGTTTATTTACCGTTGAGCCACTTGGACTCAGCGGAGGTTTAGCTTTGTTTTTTATGGATGATTTTCAAGTTAATGTTTTATTTTCAAATAACAGAATGATTGACATTGAGGCAGTCATTGATGGAATAAAAGTCTACATGACATTTGTTTATGGTGATCCTGTACTAGAAAGAAGAGAGTTAGTCTGGGAACGTCTTACGCGTTTCTCAACAACAAGAAATGGACCTTGGTTCATGATAGGAGACTTTAACGAAATTACATGTCACGAGGAGAAGGAAGGAGGTAGACAACGCCCTGATAATTCCTTCCTGCCTTTCAGGCAAATGTTAAGTGACTGTGGTATGCTAGAATTTCCCTTTACCGGAAATATGCTTTCTTGGGTGGGAAATAGGGCAGGGAGGACGACAGTTCGATGCCGCTTAGATAGAGCTGTGGGAAATGAGGACTGGCATGACAAATTTCCTCATTCCAAAGTGAAGTATATGAGACTGTGGGGATCGGATCATCGTCCGATTTTAGCTGATATACTGAGGAAGAAACCTCGGAGAGCTAGGAATTTTAAGTTCGATAAGAGATGGTTGGATAATGAGGAGCTCAGAGAAATTATTCTTGAGGGTTGGAAGTCACCAGATCTCCCACCAGATGCAAGCATTATGGATCATATTGCGAGCTGCCGTCGAGCATTGAGTGAATGGAAGCGACTCCACAACCTGAATTCAGAGAAAACCGTCGAAGAGCTTAAGGAAAAAGTCGATCGTCTATCTTCATCGGATGATGCTACTACGGAGGAAATTTCAGCAGCTATCAAGGAATTATCTGACGCTCTTAAGGCGGAAGAATTATTCTGGAAGCAAAAGTGTAGGATTTTCTGGCTGAGAGAAGGAGATAGGAACACCAAGTTCTATCATTCCTTGACAAAGCAATGGAGAGCGAGGAATAGGATCACTCAATTACTGGATGCAGATGGAAATGTTGTGGAAAATGAGGAAGGATTGGTAGCCATTGCTACCAATTACTTTAGACATTTATTTCAATCATCAAATCCGGAGGAGATTGAGGAAGCACTCTCAGAGGTATCGTCCACAATTTCCCCATCAGACAATGCGACATTAACAGCTCCGGTCACGGAGTGGGAGGTCAAATTAGCTCTTTTTGCGATGCACCCAGAAAAAGCCCCAGGACCAGATGGAATGACGGCGTTATTTTACCAAAAATTTTGGGATATTGTTAAGGAGGATTTAACTCGTATGGTGAATCAATTCCTATTTGAGGGTACGGTACCATCTGGTCTAAACGATACTAATATTTGCCTCATCCCAAAAGTGGAGAAACCGAATCAGATGAGCCAACTACGTCCTATTAGCTTATGCAATGTTAGCTACAAAATTATCTCTAAGGTCTTATGCCAGAGATTGAAAAAGTTCCTTCCAGATAGGATCTCAGAGACCCAGTCAGCCTTTGTTGCTGGGCGACAGATTTCAGACAATATTATGATAGCTCAGGAGATGTTCCACGCTTTAAGGACAAAACCAAGCGGACGAAATAAGAGAATGGCTATCAAAACAGATATGAGCAAGGCTTATGATAGGATGGAGTGGTCCTTCATTGAGGCCACTATGCGAAAAA